GGCCTCTATTGCATGACTTGAATGAATGTGCAAGTGATCTTCAACAGGTTCCAACTCTGTTGTCGCCGGAGTTCCAGCGCCCAAAGTTTATCCGCGCCAAATGGTTGAAGTTAATAGCCTGATCGGCAACTTCGATAATAGTCCGATATTGACCGTACTCCGATAAGAAAATACATAGGGTTAGGGTTAATGAAGGTTTGCTGCCGGGTTAAAGGTTAATTTAGTGAATGTACTGCTGGGACCCCTGCCACCACTGTTGCCGGCGCCTGCCCACTATTGCCAGCCACTATTCACAGCGCCTGCCTACTATTACCAGCACCTGCCTGCTATTACTAGTGATCAATTGCCAGTGATCAATTGTAGTGATTAATTGTAGTGATCAATTGTAGTAATCAATTATTAATATTGATTGGTCTTGTTAATATTGATCAGTCTTGTTAATATCAGTCCTTTTGTAAACTTCAATCCAAGTCTAGGGGTGGAATAACGATTTGTATAGGAAAAGCAGGATATCTGGCAGAATAAGCAATAAGAAAGTTGCTTTTATAAGAGGTACGTGGCCATTATTAAAAAATATAGAGTTCTGTAATGTAGAACTGTAATCATGATATATCCTCCTGTTTTAAGCCGAGTGTGACATGATTTGAGTTTGAATGGTACTTGTGGCTGGTGCTTCGTCCGTGTTATCGGTCCTTATTCGAACTTGCCAAAGATATTGGAGTTACCGATCAGGCTCTTAGTAAGTCGGGCTCAGCAGCTGCTCTGCGTTATCATGTAACACATATCGTACTACGAGACTAAGACGTGGCGCGGGTCAGAGGTGCGGTGTATCGGGTTTTACGTACCGGGATATTACACATTGACTGGGTGAACTGCACTAGATCGCTCACAGGGGTTCAGGGCGACCGTAGTCATCAACAGTGAGCCATTGCGGCGACAGGCTTTACGATTATCATGACGGCCGCTCGTGCCCGGGACCGGGCGGCGCGAGGAGTCTACACCAAGAAAGACACTGCGCGCACAGACCGAAGCCGTGGGATGAGGACTCATGTCCCGTTGCTCAAGCTCCGAGAGACCAAGTGATAACATACGGGACGGGGGTGGGCGTGTTCCGGCTGCGTGAGTGGGGAACGTCGGCAAGCCATGGCAAAAACACCTTCTTCGTCTTATGAGTCGATACCTTTTCATCACCAAGAACAGAGCCTGGAAAAGAAAGACGGGGGGTTATGAGTGCGGAAGAAAGCAGATAAAGGAAAGAACAAGAGAAAAAGAAAAAGAAATGCGTCAATCGCTGACGGGAATTGAGCCCGACGTGGCTTGTGTGTGTTAGCATCCATGACCGGAGTACTCGTAGGACGATGCTTCCAACTTACGGGTCGAACCCACAACCTTGAGATTAAGAGTCTCACGCTCTACCGATTGAGCTAGCCGGGCGGATCGAAACCCAATGGCTTGGTGTGTGTGTGTGTTGGGGGTTTCGCGGGCTGGGATCAGTCCAAGGAACCCCCCCCTCCCCGTTCCCTTCTAGACGCTACGCGATATGGCTTGCTTTTTTTTCCCCTGTGACAGGGTTCATCGCTTCTCGTCTGCCCCTCCCCAGGTAGGGCTTTCGTATGGGGTTTCGCTCCACGGCGGGGCCGGGTAAGCCGGATATGGTGGGGCGGACCGGCTCCGGGGACGGGACGGGACGGGGTCGACCGCGGAGGTCAAACGGCGCAGAGAACCGACTGTCGGCCCGAAGCTAAGAGAATCCTTGGTAACTTTTGGCTGTTGTTAGCCCAACGTTAGCTCAGCGTAGGCTTATCAGTACTCAATCACTCGATCAGGTACTATATACGATAGAGCATAAAAGAATACGCAACGAACTGGAGGAGGGCATTGACTGCAAGGCGTTTGACGACATAGGAAAATTCATTTTGTAGAGTATATCTTGGCTATACACACTTTGTAGACCATTTGGGTCTGCCCTCTTTTCATCCATCCGTTTGAACCTCGCGGCTTCCCCGTCATATCGGTACAGACTTTGAATGAAACACAACCTCGCCACCATCAACACATTATCTCCAACGTAGCATCTCCCAATCGGCGTCTAGTGGGCACCCCCTCTTGCCCGCTTTGCACCCGCGCCTCCGCCGGCCTCCGAGTCGCCTCTTGGCCTCTTGTTTCCGGGCTGGAAGTCGTTGGCGCCGGGGTTCAGAGAAGCGTTGTGACCCCCTCTGCCACCGCCACGTCCTCCTCGTCCCGCCATGCCACCCCTCTCTGCGCCACCGCTCGATACCCTGTTGCCGGCGGCAAACGTGCCCCCGCGGCCACGTCCAGCAGCGCCGCCGCGCCCAGGCAGGGGGATGCCGCTACGCGGAGCTGCTTGGCCTTGAGTGGCAGGCTGCTGTTGCGTTTGGCCTTGCTGACCGGGTTGTCCGGCCTGCGCACCTTGAGTGCTCGAGGCAAAAGGATTTTGTTGCTGTTGCGGCTGCTGTTGTGCTTGGCCCCCTTGAGCGAAGGGGTTACCTTGAGGTTGTGTACCGTTGGCAGCGCCGGCCGCAAACGGGTTCGCCCCGGCAGCATTGCCTGCTGCTGCTGCCTTGTTCTCGCCACCGGGGACGGGGATTTGCCGTTTTTGCGGAAGGCCACTGCCCGGCGGAGGAATTCCGCTAGGTGCGGTGGCTGGCGGTGGAGCTTGGTTGGTGGATGTGTTGGGGGCTGCTTGGAAATAGTTAGTAACTGTCATCCGCCTGGCCTCCTCTGCGCAAGACTTACCGTTCGGGGCGGCGCCAACCTGAGCTGGCGGAGCGGAAGGGGCGGATATGGATGGGCGCGGTGCAGCAGGCTGTGCGGCAGGCTGCTGTGCGTTACCAGCGGGCTTCACCGGGCTTGCCTGCGGTGCGGCGGGAGCTGGCTTGGCAACTTTGGCCTCCTCCCACACCTCGCCGACAGGTCTTTGAGGCGTCTTGGCCGCTGCGGTAGCCACGACCTCGATCTTGGCGTTGGCGCTGCGGATTTGGTTGTCCTTCATGTTGATCTGCAGCGCAGACTTCTTCTGAGCCAGCATCTGGCCCTCCTCCCGCGCGCCTGCGATCCTTTGCTCAAACTCAACCTTCAAGCTGATTTCTGTCTCGTTCTTAACCTTTGCAGTTTGCTCTTCAAGCTTCTTCCTGAGATTGGACGACATGATGCTGCGCACTGTGGGATTGGTGGAAAGGAACTTCCGGATCTCAGCGTCGGGGAGCTGAGACAGGTCGGTCGACCCGGCGGGTGTGCCAGTCGTTGGCGTTGCCGAGGTCGCTTCAGGGTCTTGTTGCTTGACGGGCGTCGCAGGCACAGCTGGCTGGTCGTTCGCGGCTTGGCTAGGGGCGGCGGCGGCGGCGGCACCTTGGTTCTCGGCCTTCCAGATGATCTTCTCCTGCTCCAACTTGGTCTTGAATTCCTCGTCCAGCTTCTCGCGATGCTGGCGGAGCCTCTCGTTCAACGCATTCTTCATCTTGTCTGACCGTTCCTTGATGGTCTGGGTAATGTTTGCCTCGAGCTCGACCGCCTTGCGTTCGCACTCCGCAGCCCTGGCCTCGGCAGCGGCAACCTTTTCCTCCAAAGCCTTGCGCTCCTCCTCAGACAGACCGTTTGTGCCGCTCGCAGGTGCTGCTGCGTTGTTGGTGTTGGTGGGCTTGGGTCCACTTTGCGGCTGGGACTGAGCAGCCTGTTGCGCCGCCTGGATAGCCTGGTCTCTCTCCGAGGTGACCGTCTGCAACTGCGTTCGGAGGTTTTCGAGCTCTTGCTCGGCGGCTGCCTTCTGTGCAGATACAGCATCCAGCTGGTTCCGCATCTCGGTGAGCTGCTGTTCCAGCTGGGCGACGACCTGTGCAGAGACCGAGGTTGACGTATCCGTTGGGGGCTGGGCGCCCTGGGCACCAGGCTGCGCTTGTGCGGCCTGGGCATCCTGCTGAAGCCTCTGGACTTGTTGCTGGAAGCTCTGGATCTGTTGCTCATACTCGGTACGCTGCTGCGTCGACGCTTGCAGTCTCTGCCTTGCCGATTCGAGTTCCGTATTGGCATTATGGAGTTGCTGTTGAAGTTGATCCTTCTCGGCGACCACGGCCTCTTTTTCGGCAACGGCCTCGTTCCGCCCTGTCATGGCATCGTTCTTCTCGCCGGTGAGCTTCCGCGAGCGCTCCTTGAACTGCTCCGTCATACGCTGACGGGTGTTTTGCCAGTTGGCTCGCTCGGTCTCCAACAGCTGCTTTGCCTCCTCGATCTCGGCTCGCAGAGGAGCTTCGGACTCCTTGAGGGCGTCGCGCTCAGCCTGCAATCCATTGATGGTCTGTTTGAGCTGTTCCATTTCGGCAGGATCAACACGGCCGTACTTTGTGAGGATGCCTTCGGTCCGCTTCTGCCATCTGTCGCGGTCCTCTTGGACTTGCTTGATTTCCTCCTCGAGAAAACCCTTCTGGGTCTGAAGTTCCTCGATCCGAGCCTCGAGAGGCTGCACTTTGCCTTCCAGCTCCTCGATCTTGGCGTTCTTTTCAGAGATCTGTGTCCGCGCCTGAGCAAGCTCGTTGCGAAGTGTAGCGCTGCTTTCGCGGTAAAGATTGAGCTCATTGAGCTTGTCCATTAGATCTTTGTGGGCGATGGATGTCTGACCGCTCTCAGCTTGCGCGCGGCGTTCCTGATCCAGCTTGAGGCGGGCCTCATCCAGCTGGGACTGAGAATACTCCAGCTGTTGCTGGAGGCGCTTGGATTCTTGCACCTTTAGATCGTACTGGACCTCCAAAATCTCCTTCTCGCGTCGGAGATAGTTGTTGAGCTCGCGAAGGCCATCGGCTGCGCTGTCGTTACCAGTCTCCGCATTGTTGCTGGCATCCTCGGCAGCCGTGTTGCGGCCCTCCTTGAGCGCAGAGAACTGCTTTGTGATGCTTTCCAGTTGCTCGTGCAGCAGCTTATTTTGGGCGTTCACGTCATCACGGCGCGTCTTGATTTCCGACATCTCCTGCTCCAGTCGTTGCCTCCTCTCCTCCCAAGAGCTCTCACTCTGAGATAGAGCAACCTTGGCAGACTCGGCCTCAGCTCGCAGGGTCGCAGACTGACTCTTCAGCTCGTTGTATTCGGTGCGTAGCTGCTGAACGAGCTTGGCGGCTTCGGCGTGCTTGACGAGCTCGTGTTCGTAGTCTTGCTGGGCCTTGGCCGTGATCTCGGATTGAGCACGGAGGTCCTGCTGATGGAACTTGGCGGCCTCGGCGTGGCGCTCCGTCTCTTCCTTCAGCCGCTTGATCTCTTCGTCCAGGATCGTCTTCTCATCCTCGTATTTGCGGGCAACCTCAGCCTGGGAGTCGCGAAGGTGGGACAACTCCTTGTTGGAGCTTGCCAGCTCGGTGGACAAGTCCTCAACACGCTGCTCGAGCTCCTTGGTCTTGGCGTCCTTGCCCGCGAGAGCAGCCTCCATCTCCTCTCTGTACTGTTCCTGGGAGGCAGCGAACTCGGACAGGGCCTCCTCATTCTGCTCGCTGAGCTGCTTGTACTGCTCAGTCTGTTCCTTGGCGTTTTCGAGCTGAGATTTGGCGATATCAAGCTCTCTCTTGAGGTCAGATACTTCGTTGATGAGCTCGCGCACCTCGGCCTCGGTTTCTTCATCGGTCTGCGTGGGAGGCGCCACGGTACCAGGGCGTGGCGTAGGC